ATGTTCATAAACCTTCCTGTGTTACCCTGCCATTTACATCAATCCTGGATCTGGTCACAGGGTAAGTCAGTCTTTCATTCAGTCTGTATAGACAGTACGACCTGATCCCTGTTCACTGACAAAGTTCAAAGACTGCCTTGTCCCTGTGAACTAGAATAGTAGGTGCCACTGAAATAGAGGTGGAACCTACAGCAGGAGGGGGTCCATGTGGAGGGTCACAATTGCAGTGCTGGCCCAGCATGTGATGCTCATCCTCTTGGGGAGGACAATGATGACTTTATCTTTTGACTGCTCCGCTGTTAGTGCTCAGGGAGATGGTCAGGGCCACCTCACCCCGCAGAGCACTCTGAGAAATGTTTTTGAGGAGTTCCTCCACAGGTGGCAGGTGCTGGGGTTGACCATCACACAAAAGTGAAATCCTAAGCTTTGAGGGAGGATGGCCATCTCTCACCCGTGTGCATGTCTTGTGTAGAGGTTGGTTTGGGAGTGAGCATCTTTAAACGTTCCATATGCTGTGCTTTAGGTACACATCACCCATGTGTGGGAAGGAGATGTCCCCATGACCCTCAGGGCTGTCACATGTCACATACCCGCTACTAGCTACTTGGAGGAGGGTGCTTAACCTGGGTGTCAGGATGGCCTCCAGGACACTCATGTGGGCTCCTGTCCTGCAGAGCTGTTGGTCTACGCAGTCAGACTTGTTGCTAGTCACTTGGTTTTGATGAAGAGGTTAAGCTAGGAAGGAAAATAGAAGCATTTGGGGGTAAGTGGCCAAATTGTGCACCCTGGGTTCTTGACCAGAAAGACAGAGGCTTGTCCAGCATAGCCTTGGGGTAGGAAAAGTATTCAGGAGAATTGGTGATTAGCTTGGCTGAAGATGAAGACTGCTGCAGCTAGCGTGCAGCACAGAGGCACTGGTACTTCCTGGATTATCCTTTTATGGAAATTGTCAACCATCAGCACAGGGCTCTTTTGCTCAATTTGGAGAAACTGAATGCACAAAGTGCAGCTCTGTGTGATAGTCCCTGGCCCTCCAGGTCACGGTTCTTGGCAGCTTCTAGCTACCCTTATCAGCTCCTTAGTTGTCAAAACTCATGGCTTCTCGGGCAGCTTTTACTGGAGGTCTTCTAGCGCCCTTGCAGACTCTCTGGGGGTTCTGTCTGTAGTCTTTGGAACCCCTAGGACCTGGCCTCCCTCCTCCACTGATCGAGGATTGTGAAGAGCTGCTTATATAGAGCAGCTGCAGCCCACACATACACAGCTGTGCATCTGTGGGCTGTTTGAGGACTTTCCCAGCAATGGGGGTCAGGGCCAGCATGGTGTCATCTAGGTTTGAGCCTGCTGTGACACAGGCAGGTTCTCCTGGAGCAACAGGAGCAAGGAGGGCATTGCTGTCCCCAGAGCCTGGCTCCTGTGAGACCTGGAGGCCCCAAAGTCACTCTGGGGTGTTGGGGGGTCTTGGGGCTGGTGGTCTGGGCTACTGTGAGAAAGATGAGTGGGGGAGGGCATGACAAGTGACATTTGGGTCCTGGCCCCGTCTGGGTATTGCAGAGAGGGTGGCCTTGGCTCTTTCTACTTCAAAATAAGAACTTCTGTGGTGGTATAGGACCTTCCGGTTTATTTTTTACTTGTTTGATTTAGTCTGGAGATAGACAGTTCCATTATTTTAAACTCTCCATTTAAAATAGTTTGTAGGAAAGATACAATAAAATGGAAATGATACTTCAAAAATATTAACTGATCCTCATCTGTGTCACAAAACTGCTGAAAGTTTATAGCAGAACATATCAGTTTATTCAAAATGCCCTTCTCACCTCAGCAAAGCCGAATCTATAGGCTGCAGTTTAGGGGGTGCACAGAGCTAGCCTTTCTTTGCAGTGGGGTCAGGGAAGGGATCAGCTCCACCTGTGGAAATGCCCTGCAGGCCTCCACATCTGGGGTCATCCTGTGAAGGGAGTGGCTCAGCCCTCCCAGGCTGGTCAGCTCTCTCTGCAAGGTCACTGACCTGCAGCTTGGAGGTCTTCACTCTTATTCAGGGATAAGGGTACTGAGCTGCAGAGAGGTCACAAGGTCCACCCAGGGTCACACAGCCTGCAGTGTGGTTCCCAGAGAGGGAGGGAAGATCCAGGTGGCCAGGAAGGGTCAAGGGGTTCTCAGTTTGGAAGGGAGGGGACCAAGCTGGACGAGAGCTGCCCCCAGGCTTGCCTAAAACCCTCCCTCATTCTGCCCTCTGTCCAGAGAAGGGCCCCAAATTTTCAGGTCACACCTACCCACTCCAGGCCCCAACCTGGCCCTTTCGCTCCTCTATGGTGCCCTGTGGGTGTGGCCAGAGGCAAACTGCTTGTGCTCACTTCCTGGTCTCCCTCAGAGCCCCCCAACACACACATGCTCATGGTTGACCTGGTGGGTCACCAGACAGGAAAGGCTGCTGCACAGAGATCTGGGCCTTCATACTAAACTCAGCCCCAAGGGCTGTGGCACTGTCTTTCCCTCTGTCCAAACCAGATGTCAGTGTGGATGTTCTGCGGCATGCACCCTTGGCTTCCAGCATGCTGAGTCAGGGTTAGAGGTGGGTGGTGGAGGCAAGCCAGAAATAAGCTCTCACCCTAATAAAATGCCTGGGAACTGGGCCTGTGCTGGGGGACAGCTAGGTGGGGTGGCATAGAGGAGCCATAGGTAGCTGGTCACATCCCTGCAGCGAGGGCTGTGGTGTGGATGGAGGACCAGGCTTCACAGGCCCCCTCATTGCCTGACAAAGACTGTCACTTGCTCCAGGGGCCTGGGAGATTCCACAGTGTTTTAAATTGGGTGCTGGGGCCTGGTTTGTGTTCTTACATTGAACCTTACTCTTGCGGTGTGCGTCATTTCGGGTAGCTGGTTGGTGAGAAAGATCACAGGCACCTGTTTTTGTCCGCAGGCAGAGGCAGTGGTACAACTTGGGAGAGTGAGGTGTCAGGGACAGACACCATGGAAAGGGCTCCATGAGGGATATGGCTGGGACATCCCCATCCCAGGGCTGTGTCATCAGATGGCTGTGGGTAGGAGCTGAGTCTCCTGAGTAGCATCTCCTTCCTTCCCTTGCACTTTTCTGCCTCCCTCCCTGCTCGTGTTCCTCCCTCCCTTGGTCCTCCCTCACTGTGTTAGGAGTCACTACAGGGCAAGAGGCCAAGGAGAGAGGTCACAGATCAAAGCTGAACAGAGAAGTCGGAGCTAGTCACCTCCCGGTTTTCTCATGAAGCCTTTGGCCAGACCAGGGTTTGCCACATAGATTAGTCCTGAGGTGGCTGGAATTACTTTAAACATAACTTTAGGAAAGAAAATTGTATCCCACCTAGCATGATTTTGCAGTTCGAAGCTGATCTCCTTCCCTGTCTAGCGCCACTGCTGAGTAATTTATGGCTTCTTCAGAGGGCTTTGAGGCTCTGTTGAAATAAAGTGGGCAGGTGTAGACACAGACCCTTTTGCCCTCCTGGGCCTGTCATGCGGCCACCTTTCCAAACGTGGTTGGTGGCACTGTGGTGGCAGCTTTCCTCCCCAGGCTCCAGTTCTGTAAACTGAGGGTGGTTGGAGTTTGCCTTGGAAAGCCTTTCACCTACAGCAGATCTCCACTGGCAACATCTCAGAGATGATTGCCAGGCCTAAGGTGCCTCCCTCTGATGGGCCACGCCGTGAGTATAGCTGTGTTTATTTTACTCTTCCTGACAACCTTTCAAACTCTATATTTCTAGGTTCAAAATGGGAAAACTAGTTCTTGGGAAAGATTAAGAAATTTACCTAAGATTGTACAGCTAGTTGGAAGTAAATCCAGCGTGTTAACAGTCCAGACCTATCCATGTGACTCTAAAACCCACCCTGTTTTGTTTACATTATCTTAGTTTGCTGTTAAAAAAATAAACAAACTTGTATTTCAGAGACTGTCCAAATGAGCAACAAAGGAAGGCTAGGGCAAGCAGCGATTAAAATTCTAAAGAAGGCGCATAGCTTTTATTATAAATTGGCGTCTGGAGACAAAAGAAACAAAGCGTATCTCCAGATCTCCACATTGCCTCAGCCTACCTTAAGGAGGATTGCAAGCCATACCTCTTAATATATATGTAAACATCCCCCGACACACACATGGTCCCCAACTTAACAGAGTTCAGTTAGGGTTTTCCTACTTTATGATGGTGTAAAGCCAGTAACATATTTTGGTAAAGGTCATCCTATAAACTGCGATTTGGGGTCTTTTCTGGGGCTATCAGTGTGTGGTATGCTATTCTGGGTAAGGACAGTGAGTCACAGCTCTCAGTCGTCCTGTCATGAGGGTGAGCTGTCCCCCACAGTTGGGGGCAGTGCTCCAATAAGGTGACGCCTGGTAAGTTGCATATGTTAGATGTTTTCCACTTGCAATATTTCCTATTCCCCATGGGTTTATCAGGATGCAACCCACTGTAAGTGTGTTCAGAGGGGCTGCATTAGTCACAATTTGTGGAGCTTTTTATCACATTGATGAAATGATCTAAACCAGCCCCTTCAGAATTACTCACTAATAAATTTGAGATTGCCGTGTCGGGAATGTTTAGTATAAACCACTGCCTTGTCTGAGTGGCTTTATCAAACCCCATGTGGTGGAAGCATTTTATTTACAGAAAATAAAAGCTAGAAAAGCATTGCCAGGCTCATGTTTGCTTGTGTCCCCCTCCACGCTGTGTCCCTTTCCTTTGGATCTGTGCTCATGGGTACCATGCCCGGCCTTCTGTGTGGTGTGCATTGCAAGGGAGCATCCTGGGTACAGTGGTGGCAGAGGTCTGGGCAACGGGCAGGGTGGGCAGGAGGGCCCTGTGACAGGAGGAACAGGCCCAGCCTCCACATAGGATGGGCACGCCAGCTCCTCCTGAAAGAAAGAGTGGAAGGGTGGCAGAGGCGTGGTGAGAGGAGAGGCCCAGTGCTGGGGCACTGCTTTTGTATACAGGGCTGAGGCGGGTATGGTAGTGAGAGCTTGGCTTGTCTTTGGGTTTCAGGTCCAACCCGAAAGATGCCCCCCAGTGCCAGTGCCATGGACTTCTTCCAGCTCTTTGTCCCCGACAATGTCCTCAAGAACATGGTGGTGCAGACCAATATGTATGCCAGGAAGTTCCAGGAGCGCTTTGGCAGCGACGGTGCCTGGGCAGAGGTGACACTGTCCGAGATGAAGGCCTTCCTGGGCTACGTAATCTCCACCAGTGTTTCCCACTGTGAGTCGGTCCTCAGCATCTGGAGCGGCGGCTTCTACAGCAACCGTAGCCTGGCACTGGTCATGAGCCAGGCCCGCTTTGAGAAGATCCTCAAGTACTTCCACGTGGTGGCCTTCCGCTCCAGCCAGTCCTCACATGGGCTCTACAAGGTGCAGCCCTTCCTGGATGCCCTGCAGGGCAGCTTCCATGCCGCCTTCCGGCCTTCCCAGACCCAGGTGAGACCCTTGGGGTGCCCTGGCCTCACCCATTGCGGGCATGATGTGAGGCTGTCCTCCTGTCGTGCCTGCTGTGGAGGTCACTTCCGGGACTCCTGATGTTGCTGTATCCCATGAACCCAGGTGGATGAGCCCAGCCTTGAGCAGGGGGATGGTGGGAGCCCCCGATGAGGCAGTATTTGGCCCTTTGCTGGAAGGGGGGCTTCTTTCATCCCCCAGCAGCTCTCTTTCGCAGGTAGATTGATCAACCCCAGAGTTAGCTTTCTTGTATGCTCTCGTGTGCTGGGCCTGAGGATACCTTCCGGGTGGAGAAGGCAGCGACTGGGACTCTTCAGGCCACTGAGCCTGTTCATGTACCTGCATAGATACTCAGGACAGAGCCCAGAGGCTTGGGCGCTGTAGCCGCCTGACCCTTCTGACAGCCTCGCTGCGTACCAGAAGTGGTGGCTCTGCTTGCTCTCAGCTCCTTCCTTGTTGATGTTTTCCTGAGCCCTCCATATCCAATGTCCACTTATGTCCTCCTTGCCCCATGTCAACCTCTTTCCCCGCTGCCTTGTGTCCACCTGAGCCCTCCTTGCCTGGTTCCTTGTGACTTCCATGGTTTGTGACCTGCTCTTTGGTGATGGGGTACTTCTTTTTTCTGCCTTTGCTCTGAAGTCTTAATCTGTCCAGGAGCCCAGTGTCAAGCCCACATCCCCTTGTGCATTCCTTGTTTGCTGATCCCATGCAGTGTTTACTCCCATACCGGTTGTCACTCCTCTTCCCCAGGAGGGATGCTTGGGGACAGTCTTGTTTGTCACAAGCCTTTAAGACCAGTTGCAGCCAGCACACATATTCTTTTCTTTTCTTCTTTCCTCCCCGCTCCCTTCACCCTCCCCTCCCCTCCCCTCCCCTCTCCTCTCTTCTCCTCTCTTCCCTTTTCCTTTTCTCCTTCTTCCTTTCTCCCTTCCTTCCTTCCTTCCTTTCTCCCTTCCTTCCTTCCTTCCTTCCTTCCTTCCTTCCTTCCTTCCTTCCTTCCTTCCATGGTGGGGATGGAACCCAGGTCCTTGCACATACTAGGTGAGTGCTCTACCACTGAACTACATCCTAGCCCTTTTAATTTTTAATTTTTTTTTTTTTTTTTGGTTTTTTTTTTTTTGATTAGTGCATGTTTTTTTTTCTGGTACCGGGAATCGAACTCCTGGATACTCTTACTGTCTTATCTTTACCTACTTCTTTTTTCTTGCTTTTAATTTTTAATTTTTTTTTTTTTTTTGGTTTTGAGATAGAGTCTAGTTAAGTTGCTCAGGTTGGCCTCAAACTTGCAGTTCTTCTGCCTCAGCCTACTGAGTAGCTGGGATTACAAGTATGTCCTGCTATGCCAGGGTAACTTGCTAGGTTGAAAATGAACCAGACTACAAATGTGTTGGTAGAACTCAAGGGTCAGGAACACCTCCTGACTTTGCTGGGGTCTGCTGGTCAGAAGCTGCTATAGAAGGCTGTGGGTTCTCTGTGGCATTTCTTGGGATCTGGCAGCTGGCTAGTTGGATGATTGGTATGCAGGGGCCTAAAGACCCTATTGGCTCCCTATGGAGGCAGCCTCGGCCATGGTCACACTTAGGTCTGCTGTGTGCCTACCCGGTACCCTCCTGGGCTTGCTGTACATGGCGGAACAATCTCAGCTCTTGGTTGCCTGGCACCTGCAGACTCTCTGCAGCCCCCAGGACTGTGGGTGTGTCCCTCTCAGCTGTAGGCACCCTGAGGGGGTCCAGCAGCCTTCCTGAACATTTATATAATTTTTTTGGTCTGTATTTCTGCTGGGTTTTTTTGCTACCAATTTTCTACAGAGTGACCCTGTGGTTTGGCCACATCCCAAGAGGTAAATGTGTGTCACGTATTGGAAAGGAGTTGAAGATTGTGTAGATCAAGGGCCGTGGGGCATGACCAGCACCAGAGAGACCCAGGCGGGGGTAAAGCCCCAAAGTAGGTGGCACCTAGAAGCCACAAGGGCTTAGGCCTTGGAGCAGTGGTGGGAGCAGCTCTCAATGGTACCTCCTGCTTGACCACACAAGCAGGAAGCTAGGGCTGGAAGAGCTGGTTTTGTAGTTGTAAGAGGCTGACTCCAGCCCCAGTGCAGGGTTGGGAGGTGGCAGGGGACATGGGGTCAGACACCCCTCTTACAGCTGGATGTGAGGCGAGGGGAAGCCAGGGGCCTGTCTGCTGTCACAGAGGCCTGTTGAGCCAGCTTCAGATCAGTAGGAGCTGGGAAAGTCAAAGAGGAGGGTGCCGCAGCTGCTGAGTGTGGCTGAGCATTTACCAGGACCAGGTCTTCATGGCAGTGTCACCTCCTATCCAGGTGGCAGCTCTGCCCTGCCTGTCTTGGCATGAACCATCCTGTCTTGGGATTCACAGGGGGCACATGGCCTTGGCACCAGCTTCGGTCGTGTTGGGCTTGGCTCCTGAGGTTAGGTCTCAGAGACCCCTGAGACAGGTCTCCTGGAGGAGAGAGGGAGAAGGAGGAGGAGGAGGAGCACAGGGAGGAGGGTACGTTTGCTGACCCTTGACTGGAGAACCCAGAAGCATTGACTTTTCTCCCCTGAATACCCCTGTCTGGTGCAGGGAGACACAGTGAATCAGCCGTAAGCTTCCATGGCACCAGTGTCGCTCACACTTCCTTGGAGGGCCTTGCTTTTCTCTCTGGAGACGTGTGGGATGGTCCTCTTCCCACTGCTCTCCCAAGTCCCAGGAGTTTGTCTGTACCTGCTGTCCATCACCAGCCCCGCCTGGCATTAAACCCCTGCGTGTCCCAGGTGTGCCCAGCACCCATAGCTGGGTGCCTTCGGGAGCCTCGGTCTCAACAACAGATGGATGGAAAATGGGAAACACCATGTTTCTTATAACCAGGGTGACCAGAGGAGCATCCTCAGTGGACTAGGTAGATAGGCAAATAGTGGGCATGCCTCCAGTGCTCCCCAGGGTGAGCTGTCACACAGAGGGGACTTGAGGGCTGGCACTAAAGGATAGAGACTTGCTGTCCACTCCTTCCCCTCAGGAGAAGAAAGGTTTTTCTAATGTGCAGCTTCAGGAGGTCAGAGGTATTGCTCTGGGTTATGCTCAGTACTGACCCATTCATAACTCACTTAATGGCAGAAGGGAGGGCATCGTGACAACCGGTAATTCCTGTTGACCCTTTTGCTTTGGTGTGAATGGGTCTGAGTTTGCAGCTGAGGGTGTGTCCGTGGTGGGCAGAAAGAGGCACATTTGCTGGCTGGCAGAGGATGAGGTGGTTCAACTTCTGTGGGGCAGGTGCACAGCTCAGGGAGAGGGAGGTGACAGAAAAAAACCAAAAAAAAAAAAGTTTCTGAATGAAAACTTTTTTGGGGCTGGGCATGTAGCTCAGTGGCACAGCGCCTGCCTGGAAAGCGCAAGGTTGTGAGTTCAATTCCTGGTACCAGGAAAAAAAAAAAAGTTTCTGAAAAGGGAAAAGGAGGTTAGCAGAGATAGGGGCAGGCAGTTCCTTGTGTCCTTCCCATCCTGTCCCTCTGCTCTCACTACAAGTAGGTCACCTGTTTTGCTAGAGTGGCTTCAAGTGGGGCTTTGAATGTTTCATAGGCTGCAAAGACCTAACAAGTGGGAGAAGCCCGGGGTAAGGGCCAGAGCCCAGTACAATGAGAAACCAGGCAACTTTCTCAGCCCCCTCATGAGCAGACACAGACAGGGATGGGACTTGACATCCCCATGATTCCAAGAGTCAAAAACCAAGGGGAGCAGGCCAGTAAATAAACTGCCCATACCCAGTAGTGCCAGGTCAATGCCTTTTACACTGGAGTTTAAGGTACTGTTACTGGAAGCACAGGGGACTGCAGGTCACAGTGTGTCACTCTCCTTGCTGTGCTGGTCAGCCCAGGTCTGACAGCCCCAGGAAGCCTGGTGGAAGTGCATATTGCCAGGCACGGCCCCAGCACACTGAGGCAGAGCCTACATTAGAAAGATCCCCAGGTGATTCATTTGTTGGAACTTTTTCTCTAAATGGCCAAAATGTATTTTAGACTTTATGTGGTCTCTGCTGGATCTTGTCAGTTCTGCTGTGTTTGCCTCTAAGCAGCCATAGACATTTACATTTACATATGTAAATGAGTGAGTACAGTGATGTTCCAGTAAAACTTTATTTACAAAAACAGGCTGCAGGCCAGACCCTGCCATAGTTTGCTGGCCCCTCACCTGGAGCATCGTGTAGAGTTCCTAGAGTTATATTATTACCTATGTTTTTTATTTTAGTTAACCTAAAATATACACTCTGATTCATAATTCATTTTGAAATAGGATTGGGGGAGAATGTAGTATGTTCTCAGATTTACCCAAGGGGCTGGGGTACAGCTCAGAGTTGGAGTGCTTGTCTGGCCTGCATGAGACCCTAGGTTCTATCTCCAGCAGTGTCAACATTTTTAAAAAATGAAATAAACCACAATTTACCTGAAAGCCCCCCAAACTGCTTAGCTTGAAGAATGAAAACTTTTACCCCTCTCAGGCCTATTTCATTATGCCATCTCTGTTTACTTTATCATCTTATCATTGAAAAAGTCACATAACCAGGTTATCAAGGTGATCCAGATGAAGTTCACTTGCGTGGGAGATCTCAGGAATACAGGACACTGCAGGACAGAGGAGTGGGGCACCACACAGCCACAAAGATGGGTCGTCCATGAGCCTGGAGAGAGATCGTGGGCAAAGAGGAGCAGGCTGAAGACCTGAAGGGGCTGGGTATTTCAGTAGAGGAGCAGGAGCTTAGCAAGCACCAGCCTTGGGGTTCCATCCCAGCACCAAAGCAAAGCTAAAGAAAGTGTGTGTGTGTTTTTCCTTTGTTTCTCATGGGCAGGAGTTCAGATCCAGGTTTATGTAAGTTGACTCTGAAAGAAAGAGCTCTTCAGCTGTGGGGGCTGTCCATCATGGAAGAGGCTTCCTGGGAAGGGGTGGATGCCCTCTACTGGTTATACCCAGCCTGAGGCCAGAGACCCTTCTGCAGATCCCTCCACCATATGGGGGTTGGGACTGTGGACTTCAGGCCAATAATCATAATCACCGGGATGTCTGCTGTACATCAGGGCTTGTGCTCAGAGGTCCATTGGGTTCTTGCTGGATCCTCCCTAGAACACTAGAGGCAGAGACTCAGCTCATTCTGCCCCCCATGAGAACCTCTGCCTTTCTTTTCCTGTAGGTGCTACATGAACCCCTGATCGATGAGGACCCCGTGTTCATTGCCACATGCACGGAACGTGAGCTTCGGAAGAGGAAAAAGCGGAAATTTAGCCTGTGGGTCCGGCAATGCTCCTCCACTGGCTTTATCGTCCAGGTGCTGGGGGATATGGGTGCTATGGGGCCTGGGCCTGGGACTGTGCTGACAGAGCTCAGATTCTCTCCTCTTTTAATGATGCTTATTGAGGCAGAGCTGTCTGCTCCCTCTACCTGAGGTAAGGGTGATCAGCCTGTCTCTGCACATTCTTCTGTCCAGTCCAGCCCTTCAGGTAAATAGGCTCGGTCCCACAGACCCATCTGTTTTAGCTGCATCCTCTTGGTTCAGCACCCACACGGTCGCCTCTGTCTCTTGCATGTGGACACTTTTGCATTTCCTGACTCATGAGTGGCTGTCTCGTGGGCATTCCAGGAGATTGACACCTCCCTTGCCTGCGTCCCTCCAGGAGGGCAAGTGGCCCACTCTTGTGCTGTTTGCCCACAGTTGCATTATCTGCACCTTCCCTGGCTCCTCACATGCAGCCACAAATCATCAGTCTTACATTCCCAAACATGCTGTGCACCGATGTAGGACCGGGAGTCAGGATGGAGTGTGGGAAGGGGTTCTTCCCCTGAGGCTGAAGGACATCAGTTACTGGCAGCCAAGGGAGCATTGTCAGCTGGTGCCTCTGGATGGCCTCCGGGTCCATCAACCTCTGCAGCTGGCCCATGTTCTCTGGAGGAGTTGGGGAGGAATGGACACAGCCCCGCCTCTAGAGGTCTGGGCATCACAGAAGTAAGGCTGGGTGGGTTTGTGGGTTGTGAGCATTCCCCACACCTTGCTGTGTGGCCTGTACACCCAGGGTTCTTTCTGTTGTAACGTCAGTGTGGAACAGGCAGCATTAGTAACACTGCCCTGGGCAAAGTGTAGCCCTGTGTATCAATAAGTTTTCTTCCTTACTTTCAAATCTGTATTTTTAAAAATTAATAAATCATAGGAACAAGAAAAACTTTTCTAGGAAAAGCGACAAGCTTGATGTCTAAAGGTACATTTCCTGCCCTAAAGATGTGTCAGCCCAGATCATATTGCACTCAGGGAAGTGTCTTTGCAGACCCCACCCTGCCTCACTCGGAGGAGCCTGTCATTGTGTGCTGGGGGACTGTGAGTGAGATGCTAGAATGCGTGGGAAGATATCTTATGTTGCTCTGTGCATGCGTGTGTGTGTGTGTGTGTGTGTGTGTGTGTGTGTGTGTGCGCATGCGCGTGTGCATGTGCATGTGCTCTACTGGGGATTGAACCCAGGAACTTTGCACTGAGCCACATCCCCATCATTTTACATTTTTGTATGCTGAGACAGGGTCTTGCTTGGTTGCCCAGGCAGGGCTCAAACTTGGGATCCTGCTGCTTCAGTCTGACAGAGTGCTGGGGTTGCAGGTGTGTACCACTGTGCCCAGCTATGTCTCACTCTTTAAGTGCAGACCTGGAGTTGCACCACTTGGGGATGGCATGCATATTGGTGCTGTGTGTTGGGGGCTCTTGTAGAGTAAGAACATGCTTGTGGCTTCTGTAATGACACTGTCTCAGGTCACTGACTCTCATCTGGATGAAATGGGACAGCACTATGGGGATGAGGCTCTACTGGTGCTCACTTGTCCACGGAGGAAACCCTGTTGTCCCCCATGGGCCAGCTGAAGTCAGGAATAGCCGCTGAGACCAGTGGGATTTGGGACAGCAGCTCCAGGAAGGCACCCCCTGCTGGGTGGAGCTTTTGCAGAGCTGGATTTTCCCAGCCCTTGTAACTCTAAATCATGCCCCTAGGCTGGGACTTTTCAGGTTACCGTGTTTTTGTATTCCTTTTGAGTGTAGATCCTGTTTTATATTCACTTTAAAAGCTCATTACTGTACAGTGACAAGGACCCATGGCCTCTGGCTGCTGCCACCTCCTGGCTGCGCCTTCTCCTGTTTCCTGAAGGGAACAGTGTGCCCGTCACTCAGTGGTGCTCCCTGCCCCCTCCCCTGTGACAGCTGCTGTGTCTGTGTCCACTCTTCCCAGGAGATGGCTGTGCCTGTGTGGGCAAGTGGCCAGGGAATCCCACGTGGTCTGTGACCACACTGTCCTCCACGTCTTACCCGAGGGCCAGTGTCCTCAGCTGCTCGCTGGTGTTTGGGAAATGTGTGGCTGCAGGAGAGAGTGGCTACCAGACTGTGCTGAAGTCAGTGTCTGGTAAGGAGCAGGAACTTTGATCCCAAACGTGCTAGGTTCATGCTGATAGGAAGCCCTTTTATGACATGCAGTGTCTTTTTCTGATTAAACTGTATTATCATCAAAAACACAAAAATCCCAGAATATCTATAATTACCATAAGTATATTATATAAAAATAGCCACTTGAGGACATCGTCAGCATATCTATGTAAACAAGCACATCTATCTAAACAAACACACATTGGAAGTACTGGCTGCTTTCCTTAAAAGGATATTTTTGTAAGCATTTTCTGTTATTAAATACATTTTACACATTTTAAAGATGTATACTATATGCCATTATATCTATACATGTAATCAGTCTGTACTGTGTAGTTTAATTAGGTTGTTGCTAATATTTTGCTGTTACAAAAAACTCTGAGATGGGCATGTAAACCCATTAGTATGTTTCTGATTGCTACCTTGGGTTAAATTCCTAAAAGTATAAATCATGAGTAAAATTGAAAGAATATTTTTTTAAAGTTTTATTTTATTTATTTATTTATTTATTTATTTATTTTTGTGGTACCGGGGATCAAACTCACGACCTTGCGCTTGCCAGGCAGGCGCTTATGCCACTGAGCTATATCCCCAGCTTTTTAGGTTTTAAAATATTTATTTATAATTGGCAACTACATAAATTTATTGTGTTCAGTGTTATGTTTTGAAATATGTACACATTACAAAATGGTGAGATTGGCTTAATTAACGTGTTATTGGACACACTATTTTTTGTGGTGAGAGCATTTAAAATCTCATGGCAATTTTCTGGAACCTGATATATTCTCAACAGTCGTGCCTACGTTGTACCAATTCCTTTCATACAACTGAAATTTTAAACCCTGTGGCCCACATCGCAACACTCCCTGAGCCAGGGTTCTGGTAACCACCATTTTACTCTCTGCTTTACCAGTTGAACCTTTTTAGATCCCACATATAAATGAGATCATGCAGTACCTGTCTTTTTGTGCCTAGTTTATTTTACTTAATACCCTCCAAGTTGTTGCTGTAAATGGTGGAGTTTCCTTCTTTTTAAGCCCAAATGTTTTTTCCATTGTATACACACTTCCTCTCACTCTGTTGATGGACATGGGTTGATTGGTGTCTTGATCATTGTACCACTTTACTGCCTCCTGTAAGGGCTGTACTTCAAGGTTTCCATCTGAAACCTTGCAGATTTCCCTGCAGATTTCCCTGCGGAAATTCCCACATTCTGCATTGACTTATGTTCCATGTTAATTCCTGGGTTCTCAGTGACACTGTTTGGGTTGGGAAGGTAGGGTTCACTGCTAGTCCACATAAAAGTTGATATCTGTCTGTTTCCAGGAATGAAATAGTGTCATCACCACCTTGCTGGCTTTGGTCAGAGGGGGAGTGCTCTGTTTATCACTATGGTTTTGAGCTCCGCAGATGTGCAGAATGCCTATGTACAGAGGATGAATCTGGGACATGCATGCCTTCTGCCCATGCACACACACTCCACAGTGATTCTCCCAACACTATTTGGGTGTGCCCGTGAAAGGAGTCTGATTGGAAAATGGATTATGGTTTTAAACCAGTTAGAGAGAAATTGTCATGGCAGGCCTGGCCTGCTCAGGTGAGCCCTTGAGAGGAACCAGGCTCTTCCTGGCCAAGAAGATACAACATAGAGAGGCCAGCACCTGACAAATAGGCACCACTACTGATCTGAAGGTAGAGGGGCCTTATAGAGAGGGATACAGGAGCCCTAGGGAGCCAAGAGTCACAAACCTCAGGCCTGCAAATATAGGAAATGATCCAGATATACCAAAGAAGATCCCAAGCACCAGACCGGAACATGGGGACATACTCCAATTTCAGCTTTGTGTCCCTGAGCAGAAAAGGACCAGCACTTGCTCAGACTGACAGATGGGTCTGCCTAAGCCACTAAGTTGTTAGGGAAATTAAAAAAAAAAAAATACACAGAAACATAAATGACAAACCTGGCTGTGTGTATTAATGCAGGGGGAATTTACCACTTCCTAAAAAGTTCTTTGTTCTTTCCATGTGTACTTGTTATGTGACCTGCTTCCCCATTGCATCATTATTACCTAAGCAGTTATAATCTTACTGATTGATTATAGCTATAACCCACCTTATACCCACATGGTTGTGCTTTATAAGACTTCCCCTGAGAACTAGCATCCTCAGCAACCCACTTTTGGGTCCCCTCCTGCCACCAGAGCATATCTCTTCCCCTCAATAAATATTCCCCACTCTTAACCTCTGTTCCTTAAAATTCACTATTCCATTTTAGAGAACACACACTGGGTGTATCAGACATCTAACAAGTTAAAAGTTATAATGTTTCCCTTACATCACACTTAGAGGTCCTAATATCACTCCTGTATCAATAGGAGCTTGGAAAGGACTGCCCATACAGGCCCTGAATATTGTAGAGAAGCAGCTGTGTTCTCTGTAGGGGAGGATGCTATCTAGGACCACCTGGGGGAATTCACAGCTGCGGCCACAGACAAGGTCAGACTTTTTTTTTCTGTGCTAAGAATCAAACTTAAGGCCCGTGCACTGAACTATATTCCCAGATTTGATTTCGGTCTAGCTAAGTGGCTAAGTTGCCCTAGCTGGGCTAGAATATGTGACCCTCCTGTCTCAGCTTCCTAGGTGCTAGGATTAAAGGTGTGTCACAGTGCCCAACAGGTCCAGGCTTCTCTTAAAGCTATTCTTTTTCCCTCCTTTGGAAATGAGCACAAAATAAACAAAGGACTTCATGCTAAGTGTAAGCACATCCTCCCTGCATCCTCAGGCAAAAGTTGATTTTCACTCTGTCCTAGCAAGTCACCCTTTTCCTATCTATGGCAGAGATGGTGAATGTGCTGCAGTGGGCCGTCTGTATCATTGAACACTCTAAGAGGTTTGTTATCACTGCTCTATGATATGGATCAGTGAACTTAAGGGACCCTCACAGTTCAGGACTTTTAATGGATTTGTGTTGACCTTGACTGCCAGCTCAGTACCTGCGGCTGCTTGGCCTATTTCTTTTCCATCCTGACCTTTCCACACAAAAGCATCTGGGCTGAGTCACCAGCTGATGGAGTGTAAGGTGGCTTGGGGGCCACCCAGGGCCACAGGGCGGCTTCTCACATGCTCCCAACCTGGGGACCGAGGCCCACGTTTCCCAGCCCTGGGCTCCTGGCTGTGCTGCTGGGAGTGTGCCGACTCTGTGTTTCTCTCTGCAGATTTACGTCCACTTGAAGGAAGGTGGGGGTCCTGATGGGCTTGATGCACTGAAGAGCAAGCCTCAGCTCCACAGCATGGTGGCCAGGAGCCTGTGCCGAGATGCGGCTGGCAAGAACTACATCATCTTCACAGGGCCCAGCATCACCAGCCTGACACTGTTTGAAGAGTTTGAGAAGCAAGGTTTGTCACGCAGGATCCCAGCATGGCCGGCCGCCAGCGGGTGGAAGAGGCTGGGGGTGTGGTGTATAGTGACCACAGACCATAGGGTAACCAGGCAACAAGGGGCCCTGGTGACTTTAAAATGTATGTGTTCTGGCCACAGTTTTAGGGATGCTCTAGCACAGAGCTAGGCCTGGTCTTTTGGACACTGCTCTGTGTATCTTTTTCTGTATGGCTGTGGGCATCAGAGGCCTCAACCTGGCTTTAGTGAGGGTCTGGGGACTCCTGATCCAACCTCCATCTCTATCGTGAACTCTTCCTTGGCAGATGAGAAGTGTTTAGACAGGGAATGAGCCAGTGGCCTCCAGAAGGTCTCAGGCCCTCTGGACTTAGATGCTAGGCTCCTTGTTACAAAGGCTGGGCAGTCCCAGGGCTGTGGCAAAGGTGCTCCCCAGGGGAGATGCCTCGGCTGGGATCCCAGGGCAAGCATGCTGACCTTAGCCGCCCTGCAATGAGGCTAAGATCTCATCTTCTCAGGGAAGCACAGAAAGCACCATGCTAATATAGCAGCCACTTAGGCACAGATCTTTCGTGCAGCCACACGGCAGACATCAGCCTTAACACTGGCACCTCGTAGGTTGCGAAGGCCTCAGATGCAGCAAGGTGGGGAAGCAGCTGGCCTCTGCTCCTTGTAGCAGGGCTGCCTCTGACTCATCTGTGCAGCCCATGCCCACAGGGCTCAGTAGTCTAATCTGTAGCGAGACCAAGCACATGTGTGTTGACCCTGACCAGGCAGTGTGACGGGCCAGGAGGGAGGGCTGTGGAGACTGGTCCCACTGTTCCCAAAGCAGTCATGTTGAAGAACAGGGTTCTGTTGCAAGCCAGTGGGGAGAGCCAGGGCCGCTGTCCCTGCCCTTATGCCACAGGGGTGATACATGCATGGCAGCCCCTGCTGACTTCTCTGTGTGATAGGTGCTCCCTGACTCACCATCAGCCTGCGCCAAGATCTGTGCAGCATGTTCAAAGCTGGCTCGGAGTGTGTGTCCGGGTGAGGCTGAAGCTGGAAAGATGGAGGCCCTGCGGGTGACCTGGGCCTCTGGGGCTATCTCCCTGAACGCTGTGTGCTCCTGGGAGCTGAGAGGAAGGGGCTTTCCTGGCTCAGGAAGTTAGGAGACTGGGGAGGGAATCTTCCTCTGGAAGAAGGTAATGAGATGCAGAATTTGGATTTCTTTTCAAGAGAAGTTAGGTAATAGATAAAAAAGATCTCATTGCCTATTTTAGAAGCATCTGGTTACTGAGCCCTGCCACACACAGGGTTTGTCTGTGGTGACGGGGTGGTGGTTCTGTATCAGTTGTGCCCACACTGAGGGTCAGGAACAGCTGTGCCCACCTCAAGACCAACTGGACATTCTAGGCTGGTGTCCGTGTCTCTACAAGTCACTCTGTGTTTACCCTTTAGCTGTCACCGGGCCTTTGTCTTTGGAGCCTCCATTCCTCTTGTCCGATGTGTGTGATAACCCACTAAGTGTGGAAGTTTCTGGGTACATTTAGAATGCTGTGTTTGGTGTGGTACTGAGCACTGGGTAGGCTCCCTTGGTGAGGACACTGTTGCTACAGCTGATGTACTGCTTAGATCATGGCTTTTCCTGCAGTCTCAGGACATGTCCTTGTAGAAGCCTAGGGTTGGTAGCAGGAAGAGGCCCCAACTTCAGCTGTCTTCTGATGGCTCCCTGAGGGCCTGTGTCCTGTGTCCTTCCCCTCTTAGCAATGTGGGGTTGGGGTGCTTGGGGTCTGTGACAGAACAAGTGTGACTGCATCTCCCCGCAGGGATCTACTGCTGTGGTCTGCTCAGCCCCCGGAAGAGTGACTGTACAGGCCTCCCACCGTCCATGCTGGCCAGCCCGGCCACCCCCCCTGCTCGTGGCCAGCACCAGATCAAGACAAAGGGGAATATGTCCCTGATCTGCTGGTACAACAAGGGCCACTTCCGCTTCCTGACCAATGCCTATTCTCCGGTGCAGCAAGGTGAGCATGGGGCTGGGCCTGGGGTCCCCAGGGCACTCTGAGCCCTTGATGCACAGGTGTGACGCAGTGTGAAGCTCAGCCCAAATTCTGGGGCTGCTGGCCGGGTCACTGACTGCCACGTCTGTGTGGCGTGGAGGAGGTTCCTGAGCTCAGATGATGGGATCTGCAGGCAACACCCAGGTTGTACACAGGGTGTGGTAATTTTGAGGATCACCTTATCATCTAAGATGCTATAAAAGTCTTCTCTGAGAAGAGTCAAATTGCAACCCATCCCACCTTTCATGTCTTTCTGAGAAGCCAGGCACCTACCTGTGTTGGCTGCCTGATTGGAAATCTGTTCATAAGGAAGGACTTGATTAGCCAGGGCTTCACATTTAAAGTAACTTACAGTAAAAACTTTAAACTGCTGAAAGGAAAATTGGACCCATAAAGAAGGGACATTTACTGAAACATCGGGTGTCAGCCCAGGGGACAGCCTGGCACCTGTGTGCCACGCGCGTGTATGTGTGTGTGGTGTGTGTGTGGGAGCCTGAGAGCTGCCATCAAGGGCACAGTATGGGGAGGGGGTGTCAGTGAGAGAAGAAGAAAAGCCTCACAGCACTCACTTTTAGCTCTGTTCAAATTTGTTGTTTGTGTTTAATTTGGTTACAGTGCAAAGGACTACCTGTTAGGGCATGAAGTCCCAAGACCTACCCAGCAACCCCCAGGGTACTTGGGTGGCAATATCGCTGCCGCCCAACCCCCAGTTCCCCGGACCCAGAGCCCCACAAGAGGGGAGAGCCACAGGTGCCACGAGGAGATCACCTGGAAAGGCGGGGTCCTTGGGGACAGCAGGGCCGGGCTGCTGCTCCCCACTGGAAATCCTCTGTTCAGTTCACATGTTAGAGCGCTTTTTTTTTTAAAGAGGTAGTTTTCTTTTTAATGTACTTCAAAAATGTGATTTTAAAATATCTATGTAGTGTTCACCCTGTTGGAGATGCTGTGCTTTTACCTGCTTCTGTTCACGATTTTTTTTCTTTTTCTGAAATTAATTTTATTGGTACACTTCTGAAATACATAACGATCGCATTCATCACAGGGAGTCTGTGCCTGTGCACGATACATCTGGATCCTTTTCCCCAGTGCCAGTCCCCGCCCCTCCCTTCAGCCCTGCTTCCCTTCCTTCTTTACAAAAGCTTTGTTCCTACTTTTTTCCTTCTGTTTTCTTTTTTCCTTTTCCCTTCCTTCTCTTCCCTCCCTTTTCCCCTTCCCATTTGAACATTTTCTTCCTGCTTCCCCGTATCTGTTGACCATTTTGGTCATTACTCATGCATGGTTGTTTTTCTAATCCATATAACGGTGTGTTGGGTGACTTCACACATGAATATTTGGGTGAATCAAAAAGCAGCAGTGCAGGGTCAATGGATAGGGCCATTATTAAGTTTCTGACAGCCTGTTGCCTCCTGGCTGTGCTATTTACCATGGGACAGTCATAGAGAGATCCCCTTTGTTCCCCATAATACTGGGGATTGAACCTCAGCCCTTTTTATTTTGAGACAGGTTCTCCCTAAGTTGCTAAATTTCTGGGCTGGGTTCAAAATTGCCATCCTCCTGGGCCATCACACCCGTGTACTTTTTTTTCTTTTTTTTGGTCAGTGCAGCAGGTGACACTGCTATAAGATTTCAGATATAAATTGCTATGACTATGGAGAAGGTGGAATATCTCTTCCTGCATAATTGTACTGGTTAATTTTGAATGGTTTCTTCACAGCTTTTAAAATTCTTCTTTTGAGAAAAGGTTGTTTTATCTTTTCTTCTGAGGTTTTTATCTTTTTCTTATTATATCTGAAAGCAGGTTTGCTGCCCATAGAAATTTTTTTTTGGTATATTTTTCCTTTTGTTGTCATTTATGATGGCTGTGTTTCAATATAAAGTTTTTTATTCCTGCAAAGGCAAATGTTGATGACTCAACGTTCATGGTGTAGATGGTTTGCCTTTGTGCTGAGACCAGACAATGTCCACAGGCCAGACACTGTCCTGGTTGGTTGCTTATACTTGCAGTGGTGGCCGGCGGCCTGTCTGCCAATGCACTTGGAATCTGAGTGTGGCTGGGGACAGGACTTCCAGCTGTAAGGACCAGGATCTCTGATGTGAATCTGCAGAGTCAGATGTTTACAAGGTGGCTGTGCTCTTAGGTTATTGAGAGCTGCGGGGACACTGTGTACACCCCATTTCTCCCAGGTCTGCGAGTGTTCCCTCGTGAAGTGCCATTACTTTGGGAAGAAGAAAGGTCCCAGCTCAGCTGTGCAGGCAGATCTGTCCCTGCTCAACTTCTCAGCTGTCCCTTGTGACACTTGAGGACCAGGACAGTTCTGGCCCCAGGTGAAGATAATGTGGGCCTTCGATGGATGACCTTTTTAGTTTGACCCTGTCCACTTTCATAATCCTATGAATGAATTCCTTGTAATTTATGAAAAACAGGTACATGAGGGAAGTGGGGGAGGAATCAAGGACACATGGCTGTAGGGATGAATGTCTCCTGTGTGGCCTGTGAAGGCAGGGGCAGTGCCCCAGCAGGCCTAGACACAGGCTGCCCAGCAGCAGCTTGGGCAGCACAGCAAGGAGGGCAGTCAGTCCCCCTGTGGCTCTCAGGCTTTCCCGGTGGGACTTGCAGATCGTCCAGAGGGAAAGAACACTGGAGGATATGTAACCATGTCCGAACAGTGGATAGATACAAAGAGATGCCCTCCGCCCCTGTCCCCAGGGCCCAGGGAGTCCTGAGAACATGAAGCAGGTGAGACTCCTGCTCTTCTGAGCCTGGATCCCAGCTCTGGGGGAGGCAGACAGAGGTGGCTTCAGTCCTCCTGACCTCCCCTGGTGTGCGTCCTCCGTCTTCTTCCTTCTTCCAGCGTAGCTGGGTAGGGGTTTTCCTGGGTCCCCCTTCTGCCCCTCCAGGCCTGGTCAGGCAGCTGTCTACCCAAAGCACTTGAGTCTGTCATTGTCTCCGCACCCATGCTACCCATGACTTGAGGTACTGAGTCTGCGTGGCAGGCGCTGGGCACTCACTTCACCTTGACATCCCCTTGCCCTGGTCCTCACCCCTCATCACCATGAGGGGGGCTGCAGTCCCATTTGCAGGTGGCTCGGGAGCAGGCAGGACTGAGCGCTGTCTTCCTGCAGGTGTCATCATTAAGAGGAGGAGCGGAGAGATCCCCTGTCCCCTGGCTGTAGAGGCCTTTGCCGCCCACCTCAGCTACATCTGCAGATACGATGACAAGTACAGCAAGTAAGTGCTCTGGTGTTTGGATGAGGGTGGTGCTGTCACAGTGGGGTATTGGAGAGTCAGAAGCTTCTACCATGTGAGTTCTAGGAGCTCAGGCTCACAGAGCCCTGGGCCCGGCCTACACTGCTCACCTCTGTGAAGCCTGTGGCTTCCTCTCTTGTCCACTGCCCAGCATCCCCCTCCATGCAGTCATGTCCCCAACACCCATGGCCCCTGAGGCACCAACCTTAAGACCTGGTACCTAAGACCTGGTGTGGGCTGTGGTGAGGACATAGCAGTGTGTAGACACAGGATACACTCCATGCATGTGGCAGGCCATCCACAGAACGTCATCACAGTGTCCCTAGGGTCCAGGGGAAAACTGTGGTTGAGCCACAGTTTGAGCCACAGACATGGGTGCCCGGCTCTTTGAGGGGCACCCACATCTGCCCTTTTCCCAGTGGGAGGGAGAAGTAGGGCCGGGCTCTCTCTGCACACCTTCACCTAGCTACAGAGGGAACCCACACCCTGGGCACATGAGCCAGGTGCTCCATGCCTGGTCCTGGCTGTTTCCACAGGTTGTTACAGAGAAACTGGCATTTATTCAGGATAGACTGTGGGCGCCTCCCCTGTGCTGGGCATGGTGTGGCACTGAGGACCCTGGTTTTCAAACACCTTGTGTGGGCACAGAGATGAACGCACGGGTGGAGAATGAGCACAGTGAGCTGAGACAGTGCCTGGAAGGTGGAGTTTGTAGGCCTAAGCTGTGGGATGGGGAGTGTTCATGGAGTGGGAAGCGTGGGGCTGCCGGGGCTGGCCACGCAGTGAGCTGTCCCAGGACACTTGCATCCCTGTCCAGCTTTGCAGTGACCCTGGTGCATTCTGATATCTTGAGAGGCATCATTTTCCTATCTTTGTCTTAGTAGAATTCGCTGTGACAGCCCTAGAGCCCTGCCCCACCCTACCCTAGTCCCTAGGCCCCCACCTCCAGGAGAGCCTGTGACAGCCCCGAAGCCGGGTCCGAGGCCTCAGGGCATTCTTTCGAGCGCATGCTCCACGGCCTTCCATCTCGGCCCCTTGCCCACAGGTACTTCATCTCTCACAAACCCAACAAGACCTGGCAGCAGGTGTTCTGGTTTGCCATCAGCATTGCCGTCAATAATGCCTACATCCTATACAAGATGTCAGATGCCTACCACATGAGCAGGTACAGCCGGGCACAGTTCGGGGAGAGACTTGTCAGGGAGCTGCTGGGCCTAGAGGATGTGTCTCCAGCTCCCTGAGGCCAAGCAGGCCCAGGCGTGGCAGGAGGAGGAGGAGGAGGGAGCCCGCCGTCACTGTCGCCTGCCACCAGAGACCGCGTGTGTGAAGACGTGTTCCTTCGCAAGTGCCCTGCCCATCTTCAGACACCCGCAGAGCCTGTGGGCAGAGTGCAGGTGGCCATAGGGAGGGCCATGGCCACAGAAGGCGTCAGCGATTGACGAGCCTGGCACGCTGAGATCACCTGCCTTGCAGGAGGACACATTCAAGGTCATGCAGGAGCTCCCAGAGCTGAGGACAAACGATGGCGCAGGTGTGTGGGGGAGGAGGGAGTTTTCCAGCAGTCGCTTCCTGCCAGCAGCTTAGCAGTCTCTTGGAAGAAGAAACACAACCGGTGCCATTAAAACATAGAGATGGGATGGCGAGCGTCCACTCCTGTCCTCTGTGGGGGTGGTAGGGGTGGCGGTGAGAGGGAGCCACCAGGACTGCAGTGAAGGGTGATGGTGTTTTTTTATTTTTAAATATATCTTCAGGTTATTTTCTTACTGTCGCTTAAGGTCTACTGTAACAGGGAGGTGACCCCTCTCCTGCCTGCACCCCTCACTGTCCCTTGCATGACCACAGTCTGTGTCTGTGCTTGCCGCGGGTGAGAAGGGCCACTGGCTCCCAGGACACCATGGTTGCAGGCATGAGCTTCGTCACAGATGTCATTGTTGGCAAAGTTACTTGTTTTGAAAAACTATGTAGCATTGCTGAAACACACAGTGCTCTCCTGAGGACCCTCTGCTAATAGTCCTGTCCGTGCAGTGACCCTGGCAGCCTCTGCTGCCCTGAGAGGTGCAGCTGGCCTTGGAAAGCCCCAGCCTGGGGCTGTGGTCACGTCCTGGCTTGGGTGGGATTTGACCCCAGGTTGGGCAGGGGCATCTCCCAAGACCTGGGCTCGTCCCAGCCCTCCTGAAGGTGGTTGAGGGGCCTGACTGTCCCACAGCAAGAGCAAGGGGCTTCTGAATTATCTGGTCTCCTTCCAGCCCTGTTTACGTAACCACCTCATTTCTACAAATGCAGAATCTATTCTACTCAGGCTTGGGACGTTTCTCCTTGTTCACGCGTGGTTCCCCCAGCGGTGCCGGCAGCATGCTCCCACCTCCCGCCACACCCCATCTGGTCACGTGACTGCCCCCACGCTGTGGTTTGAATTTGATGCCACGGATTGTAGGCCAAATTTTAGATTGTGTTTCAAAACACCCTTGCCGTGCCCTTTAATTGGATTGAAAGCACTTTTACCACATGGAGAAATATATTTTTAATTTGTGATGCTTTTCTACGAGGTCCACTATTTCTGAGTTCATGTGTTTCCGATACTTAGGGAGACTAATAAAAGCCGATGAATTTTCTTTTCTGTCCAAATAAGTAAAATAAAAATAAAAGTCTATTTAGATGTTGATTCTTTGTTAATATGTAGATTTGTTTGAAAAGCCAGGGACAAAAACACAAGCCGCTGTGCTGGACAGCCTGGTGCATGTGAGCCTGCGTTCTGGGTACCATGGCCCCCTGAGCAGTTTGAGAGAAGATCAGCTAAGTGGTGACTCAGAGCAGCAGAGCTGGTGACAGTGGTCCTCTTGGGAGGGCAACAGCCCTATCCACAGTTCCAGTTAACTGAGATCAGCTGCAATCCAAAAATATTACATAGAAAATTGCAGAAATAAACAATTCCTAGGTTTTAAACAGCTTTTATTATAGTATATTGTTATAATTGTTCCATTTTATTATTGTTTACCTTTTACTGTGCCTACCTCATAAGTTACATTTTATCCGAGGTCTGTACACACAGGGTTCAGCACCACCCACGGTTTCGGGTGCCCACTGGGGTCGGCAAACATTACCCCCGCATAGTGGGGACCATGTAGGCATTTAGGTACCCATTCCTGAGGAACCTCCAGGCCTGCCTTCTCGCGCACTCTCGGCTGTCCTCCACATGCTATGTGTCTTCCAGGTTGGCAGGAGGGGACACTGCACTCCTGGGCAGCTGTAGACTGGTCATGGGGTGGTGCTCCCTCTGGCTCTGTGCCCCTATTTCCTGTTGATGAGAAAGCACCGCTTTGGGCTGAGGGGAGGCTGAGAGGACTCACAGTCAGGAGTGTGTGCAGGGGGAAAAGTTTCTTTCTCCTTCTAGGACAAAATGGTGTGTGGTACAGATTAGGTCAACCCGCAGGACCTGATTTAGGAACCGCTGCCAAGCAGCCCCAGTGTCTCCTGGCCCTGAGGTGGACACTGGCCATCCCTGGTGACAAGGAAAGGCCCTGTGTGAGTCAGTTTTCTGTCGCTGGGATAAAACACCTGAGATAATCAGCTGAAGAGAAAGGTTATCCACAGCTCATGTCTCGCAGGTTTTACTTGGCCCAGGGTTACTTGGCCCTGTTGCTTCAGGCTGTGGTAGAGCAGAGCATCGTGGTGGCTGGAAAGCAGAGAGAGAGGAGGGGCCACGTCCCAGTGTCCCCTGTAAGGCCACACACTCAGTGACCCAACTCCTCATGAGGCCCCACCCTCTTCCAGTAGTGCCATTGGCTGGGCACCAAGTCTGTAGCAGAGGGGCTTTGGGAGATACTCAGCTCCAGACCCGCAGTAGCTATGTAAGTGGTTGTCGTGAGACAGGGCGGCATCGGTGGGGCCAGTGACACCCCTCTCTGCTCAGGTCCCACCACTGTGCCAAACTCATTCCTGCTGTGAGGCTAGAAGAGAATCAGTATGAGATTCCTGGCCCTCACGCAGGACAAAACCAAAGGTTCTGGGCTCCCCCAGGGAAAGCTGCCCTGGGACCCTCACTGCGGTAGGGTGTGGGGCTAGGGAGTGACTTAGGTGAATTCCAGAGTTTTCCTTACCGGTTCCACGCTCCCCACATACTTGCTCCTCAGAGCCTGTGTTGAACAGCGTCCTCCAGTGACCAGTGGCCCATGTTTCAAAACCCAGGTGAGTCGTGGGAAAATCTGAGTGTCCTGGTCACTCTGGCATTGACTAATCAGGTAAGACCTGGCCACCAAAGTTAAATTAACTTTGAAGAACACAAGAAGCAGAAGAAGGCAGGCCCCGGGACGGACCTCAGGCATGGCCCACGAGAATGGTGACCCTGTGTGCTGGGCTCACCCCTCCCCATGCAGCACCTCCACTGGTCAGAGCACAGTGTCTGAAAGGCTGACGGGCAAAGCATGCTGTGTGGCTCAGAGGACTCCGGGCCGTGCTCTCTCCCTGTGAGGCAGGTACGGGGAGCCCTGTGGCACCCAGGCTGCCTGCATGAGGCTGCGTCCTCCCACGGCAACCATTGCCGTCCTGGTCTCTGAGAAGAGGGGCCTCACCCTGCATTTCTTCAGGGCCTGCACAGCGTACCTTTTCCTTTCCACAGCCTCATGGGAGGGAACCAAACGGTAGTCGGTCACTGCGAGTTCAATGCCCCTTCCCTTGGGTGCTTTTCTCATCCTCCACAGAGGGGTGTGTGTATCTGGCTCAGCAGCCTGCTGAAGCCAAAGTTCATCTCAGATAAGTTTAGGACAGGGATGAGTCCTTTGTGCCAGCAGCCCTGGTCTCACCTCATGGCCCCGGGGAGTCCAGCTGTGGAGTTGTCAGCAGAGCGACAGGTCTGGATCAGGCAGCTCTCTGCTCAGCGCCACACTGATCCCCTGGGTGCCTCGACCCTTGCACTAGCTGGATGTCAGAATCCTGCTCTCCGCATGGGCTCCTCCCATCTCAGTAAGCCCAGCCTGGCATGGTCAGAGGACCAAAGGAGTCTGCTACAGTGACCAGGAAAGGGTCCCCACTGCCCACTGTGGAGAGACCTCTGTCCAGAGATACCAGTGCTGTGACTGAGGCAGGAAGAAGCTGAGAATAAGGCTGGAGAAAGAAGCGGGGCAGCCACCTTTGGAGCCCACTTTCTGGAACTAGAGCCACCTCTGGAGTTAAACATTAGCCCAGGACTAGGACACCCAACTCTGAGTACAATGAGAGAAAGTAATCAGGTAATTTAGTTCATACACAGAAGTCCAGGGCTCGTACCTAGGGACCCTCTGCCACCCTTGGCCACCCCAATCCTAATTACCATGTCACTGACTAAGCAGGCCCCTTCCTGGGCTTTGGATGCCACGACAGCTCCTCTAAGGGCCATAAAAGGTCAGAAGCCTTGGGGGGCTGATGAGTCAAGCCTCAGACTCCTCAGTCCCACACCACGCCCCCCTGGAGCCCTGAGCTCTTCTCCAGCCCTGCACCCACTCTGTGGACTGTAGATGGTCTTTTCTCTTTCAGATAAGTCACTGCTCCTATTGCTACTCAGATGTCCTGCTCGATTGTTTAGGACCAAGAACCCGGAGAAGACCCCAGTCCAGCAGCATTATACCTTGGGGCATCTCTGCAGCCCCGGCTGTCTTCCCAACACCTGCCTTTGTCAGGAGCGCTGCCTCAGTTTTCCGCTTTTCACCCTCTTGTCACTCGTCCTCTCGTGTGGCTTCTGTGTGGGTCTCATCTTTGAAAGCTCACAACCCTTTCTCATCTAAGTATACCGGTCTCCCAATAAGAGACACAAGTATCAGGTTCCAAGGTGGTACTCGGGCTGTTGCCATAAAACACTAACAGACAGACTCGCCAGGTGCCCACCGGCGACCATCGATCCTTCAGTCCTCAGGGCACGTGTGTCCTGTCCCCCGGAGTCCAGCCACGTTTCCCACCCTGAGCTCCGTGGGGTGAGTTGGCCGCTGTCTCCAGCACAGGCTGGGAGTTGCCTTCCGAGATCACTTCTTCCTTCCCCCGCCTGCAGCAGGAAGCGCGTTCACCTGCCATTCCGTGTGCAGCCAAGTCCATCTCTGTAAGGAGACTGCTAGAAGGTGTTGGGTTGTACAATCTCGTCTTCTTGGTTACTTCACAACAGATAAAAATTTACTTTTTTTTAATCTCTAGGTATCTGGAAGCTTGATTGTTGTGTATAGGTTTGGAGATGAAGACAAGTGGAGGGGACCTCACCCGCCGTGGGCAGTATCTGGAGTGGACTGGGGCGAGAGGCGTCCTGTGGCCCTGCACAGAGACCTTGCTGTGGGTGGTCAGTCCTGGCCATCGGTCCCTCCAAGTCTCAGTTTCCACCTCTGAATATATACAGAATGGTCAACATTCAGTAATTAGGCAGTGAGACTAGCTTTCTAATTGCTTTTTCCCCTAGATTTACTCTTTATTTTTTGGTTTATTTATTTTTTGAGACAGGGTCTTGCTATGTAGTTCAAGCTGGTCTTGATAGTTCAAGCTGGTCTTGAATTCACCGCTATCCTCCTGCCTCAGCCTCCCAAATGCTGGGGTTATAGGTATGTGCCACCACACCCGGCTGGATTTGCTCTCTTTAAAAACCTCATCTCCACTGGCCTTGAGGAGGGACAGGGAGAGGTCAGGGCGTGTCCTGTCTCACGGGGTGGGAGGTGCACTCAGAACAACCGCAGACACTGTGAGGTGTGGGCTGCAGTTCCGGGCCACAGGCTTGGGGTGGGAGTGTTGTTGGAAGCCATGTTGGGTCACTCGGTCCCTCTCGACATTATGCCACAGTGCCAGTTGCTTTTTAAGTCCCTTGCCCCACAGCACAGCATCCACTTGGCACAGACCAGGCGCTGTGGGTCCCTTCTGTCCAGGCCTGGCCCACCCTGTGACAAGACAGTGACCAGTTAGGGAGCCCAGGAGGGCAAGGATGGGGGCCCACACAGAAACCAATACCAGGGGTGCTGGTGGGAAGACTGAGGTGATGAGGGGGTGAAGTCCGACCCAAGGGGACCAGCCACTTGCCTCTGGCTTTCCTGATCACCTGGATGCAGGCAGGGCTGAGGGGCTCCCAGGCCGAGCCTGGTGGGGAGCAGTGGCCAGCATCGAGGGCCAGGCGGAGGTGGCCATGACTGCAGGCTGTGCGCCTGGGTGGACGCTGGCTAGGACCTGACCCTAGGCAGGAGGAAAGACCACTGAGCCCCAGCTGTGATAAGCACACGACTGAGAAGGAGCCTTCCAGGTGCCCCCTCTGAGGCGAGGAAGCACCACTCACCCCAGGGCAGCGGCCGCTGGTGATGACGAGGAAAGCCGTGGGCAGTGACCCCAGAAAGTGGCGGTTTAAGATTTCCACTTTCACCATTACTTCATTATGTTTTCCTCAGTTTTCAGTTAAGCATCGTGGTGGGGGGTGTTTAATTGCATCAGGAACTGCACAGGTCGCCAGCCCTTGGGCGATGTCACAGCGACGGCCCCTTTTGTAACGCTGTGGGTTGCACACTAAGGCACCCTTGCTGTAAGTTTTTACAAATTTGTATGCCACACACTAAATTCTGGGTTCTACAGTGTGAAGTATATGCCCCCCATGTACTAATTGTGATTTAATTCAGGTATCTTGTCATGTGGTTATTTCTTCAACAAAGCTTATTGAAAGGCACTC